GTTCTATCAGGTGAAGAATGTTCTCTAGATGAAGTGAATCTTAACAACTGTTGCCTGTCCTGGCCACTCATCTTTGCTTCAACTAATGCTCTTCTTCTAAAATCACTGCCTCCACCCTTCAGCTCTGAAAAGAAAAGAAATTGAGGATGTAGACATGGATGCACCGTGCTTTACAAGAGGTGGCTGCTCATTCACTCTGGGCAGTGAGATCTAGGCGTAAAAGAAGTCTCAGGGGGAAAAAAAAAGTCGTCTCTGGGAAGAGATGTTGTTTGTGAAGAGAGCATTGGCCTGGAAGGGCTGCTGTGGGATGCCTGCCCAGGTGCCCAGGGAGAGGAGGTTTAGGGAAGGTTCGCCTGCAGGTCAGTCCTGTGGACCTGGTGTAGGCGCGTGGGGCCTGGAAGTATGGCCACATAGGACTGACGGTGTGAGTGGGGACAGGGGGGCCAGCCAGCACAGGCAGGTGTCTTCCCAGCCTGGATCTCCCCTCCCCCTCCCTGAGAGAGAGGGGGCAAGACAGACATAGGTGACATCAGCTGTCTGTCTCCCCACCCCCACCCCCAAACACACATCCATACACCCATCAGCAGTTTGAAATTGAGCAGAATGGAAAGGGAAAGGGCCAGATCCTTGGCACCTCTGTGTTGCCTTTGTCCTCTGAGCTTCCTGCAGACTCCCTGAGGGCCTCCTCTTGCTGTTTCTTCCAGAGAGACTTCACCTGTACCATTTCCTTTCTCTCTGGGCCTCTCCTGGGTCCTTTGTTCTGCTTGCCTCATCAGTGTCTCCCTTGACTTCTCTGCTCCGGAAAGAGGAGCAGCCCTGCAGCCTTCTGACCTACCAGGTGGAGTTAGAAGCATCAGGTTCCTTTGAGGTGGCTGGCGATTAGAGGGCAACATTTCTGTTCTTCCCCCTACTTATACGTATACCTTTTCCAGCGCTTGAAATAATCCATTTTCTTCTGAGAGCCTCCACTCCCTTGTAGGCTGTGGTTTGATCACACCCACCATCTCCCTAAGCCCTCACCATACAGGAGGTAGAATGTAGTTTAAGCCGTAATCATTCCTGCTCCCTCCCTGCCTCCTAGAAGTGGTGGGTGTCCTGTGGTGTATGTTACAGTTTGCCCAAGCTGAAAAAGTGCTGAGCTGGTTGCTCTCTGCCTTCTCCCCTGTTTGGTGGGGAAGGAGGGGGCTCAGAACCCACTCATCTCCTGGGAAAGGGGGTGTGTCTCACTGCACCAGTCATCTTTGGGGTTCCACTTTCAGGATTCAGGCAGGAGCAGCGTTGAATGCAGAGTCAGCGTCTGAGCAGCCACGCTTGGACATCGAGAGGCCCCTGGACTGACTGGAGGAAGAGCTGGGAGATGGGAAGGCACAGGCCCCCTTCCTTACCGGTGGCGGCTGTCCTCCCGCCCTCCAGCCCAGAATGAGCGCTGGGCTTTGTGCGTTTGGAGGCCACCCTAACTGTGTGTCTTTTCTGCTTCTCCCACTGTTGCAGGTTATGTGTTCTGTATGTTACATCGCCTCCCCGAGCAGCATGACTGTACGTTCGACCACATGGGCCGCGGCCGAGAGGAAGCCATCATGAAAATGGTGAAACTGGACCGGAAAGTGGGGCGCTCCTGCCAGCGCATTGGGGAGGGGTGCTCCTGAAGGCCAGGCACGGCCGCCACATGACGCTGTTCTTAGTTCACTAATGTTAGCCTTATTTAGGACAAAGTCAGCCAGACACCTTGTACTGGGCACGCATCAGACTACAGCCAGTCCGTTTCCTTTCTTTAGCCAGCCGTCCTGGTACTGTAGTTTAGGGGTTGATGGTGGTTGAAATTGATTTCTGGCTGGTTACTAAGGTGCCTGCTAGCCATTGTATAAAATTAAAACATGAAGAATATTTTTTTTTTGAGCATGGCTAGTGGATTTAAAACAACACATACCTGTCACTGCTGGAGTCAAACTTATAAAAAGCCTTAAGCGGAAAGTGTTCCAGATGGAGACTCTGAGTTAATAGAGGAGTAGAAGCTGGTGTTAAAGTTCCTATGACGCACGTGGCTTTGCCAGAAACTCTGGTTAATGTTCGGCCTTTCACCTCTTCACTTATCCTTAGTCCCAGTAGCCAGGATACCTGATGGCCACGCGTGCCTTGGCCACAGGAGGCTTTTGAGACTGGCCATGTGGCTGGGCTGAGTGGTGGCTTCGCTCTCCCACAGAGCTGGAAATGGGGGTGGGGGGGTAGGTTCTTAGGAAAATTTTTTACCTGACTTGCTATGAAAAAAACTCTCTCAGCACACGAGAAGAGAAACAATAACCTCACTTTGAAAATTAGCTCCACTGAAGACTAGTCCATGTACGAGACCCATCTTTTCTATACAGGACCCACGGTCATGAGAAGCTCCAGGGGTGCACCCTGACCTCACTGGCTCTGGTTTGCCATTTGCCAAGTGCAGGGATCTGGCAATTGATCAAATAAGGCTAATTACAGCACAGCAGCTGCGGCTGAGATCTACGGACTGGCCTCTGCAGCTAGATTTCTATATTGGGGGTTTTTAAAAAGACATTTCATAGCCAACGGGAATCAGTAGAAAGGCTGGGGGGGAGCATGTGGGACGCTGCCGCCCACAGCCTCTGCCCCCTCCAGTGGCTGCCTGTCCAGCCCTCTCTGGGCCAAGAAGACGATGCCATGACCCAGCCCCTTGCGTCTGTGCAGCTCCATAGTCCAGGGGACGACCTCTACCACATAGCAAGTTTAGGAAGGGGAGGCAGCCTGCGTGACAGGGGCAGCGGGGTGATCTGTCTAGAACAGTGGTTCATGGCCGTGGCCCAGTTCTGAGTGAGACATTTGCTCCGCACTGGGGGTGGGAGGCCATGTTTCTCAGCCCGTGTCTTTTCCTGCGGGTAGAGAGGAGTCGGTAGCCGTGGTAGCTCAGGCCAGGTGAGGAGGGTGGATATGGGCCTGTTTGCCCAAGTTAGGGAATCATCACTGATCTGGTGGGGGTGGGGAGGGGAGACAGGATTAAGATTCTCTGGAAGGCCTGAACAGGGTTGAATGGGCCAGAGACCCCATCTGGTCCGGGCTGGTAAGAGTTCCAGGCTCCTGCAGAGGTGGCTTGGATCTGCCCACACACAAGCTCCTGGAATAGCTTAACCCAGCAAACTTTCCCTTTTATACCACGACCAACAGTTCGACTCTGCAGTTCACAGCCAAACACCTGCAACTACAAATGTTTTTTGATCCGGAATACTGAAATAGGAAATCATGCTCTTACCAACCTCTTCCTCCCATCCCATCCCCACCAGAGTGGAATCCGCTGCAAAATCTCCAGCCTTATTCTTGCTTCAGGACCCAGACCGGTGTCTTGCTCTAGGGCAGCCTAGGGCAGAGGGGCCGGGTCTGCCTGCGTTTACCACTGTTGTCAAGCCACGGCCCTCTGGCCAGTACATGGCCATCCTCAGTGAGGCGGCCCGCCTAGGCCCCCGCCAAGCTCTGATCCCGAAGAGGCCCCTCCCGCCCCCCCGTGCCCTTCCGGCCCTCCTCAGGCCCCACCGCTGCTGCTTCGAGGCAGGGATGGGAGCAGGCTCTCCAGGGAGCCCAGTGGCACAGAGGGCTCACAGCCCATGTTCACTTCCTGATGGTAGAGCTGGGGGTGGGGGGAGGGCTTGTTCCCCTGCAGTATCTGTTCTGTGAAGTTTGTTAAATGTAAGGAAAGCTTAAATTCTTGTATCTTTAAAAGAGAAGATCTTATTTAACCCTTTTGTGTTTTAGATTTACTTACACACATAGCCTAGAGCTCAGTTTTAGTTTTAACATTGTGAAAATATTAAAAGAATCTTGTAACTTTATTCTTTTTTTTCCTGCTGAAAAAAAAATTAAACCAATCGTATGAAAGTTTGGATTTCTCTGTTTTGCCAGTTCTCCTAAGTGCTACCTGTATAGCTAGAAAAATGGTGAAATGTCTCTCTGGCTGGAGCTTGGATGAGGTGTGGCAGGGAAGCAGGTGGCTCTTGTGTGCAGAGAGAGCCTCTCCATTGTCTGGGCTCCCCCTCCAGGCTCCACAGCAGCTCCCCTTGTTTCTGGGAGTGCTTGTGCCTTTGGAGGTCACAGGACCTGTGGGATGGTATGTTTGCTGGCAGCAGGACGGTTACGTAGGTGAGGGAGATGAGAAGAAACAGGCACCGGCCCTCACGGCCCCTCTGTGGTGTGTGGGTTGGGTGTGCTTGGGGCCTGGGAGGGGCAGAGTCTGGGGACCCTGACCCCTCGCAAGGGAGGAGCAGCATGGTGTATGTGCTGTGTGAGCCCTGGTGTAGAGGAGGCACTTGCTATATTCATCTTAAGTAGTCTAAAAACATGTGGGATGTGTGTGGCAGGGAAGCGGTAGCATCTCTCCTCACCGCCTTGAAGGCAGAGTGTTGGCCGCACAGTTGTCATTGAAGATGATGAGCAATTCTCGAGGAACTCAGAAGTGCGTGTGGAGGTGAACAGGTGGATGGGGAGAGCACAGGAGTCTGGTGGCCTTGGAACACACCACTCCTGGCAGTGCAACCCCTTGTCCCTGCTGCTGATCTGGGAGACTTTGTTCATGCCAGCAGGAGCCTAGGGCAAGAAGACCGGTGGTGGAGGGAAGTGGCAGTGAGGAACAGGAAGCCCACTGTGGGGAGGGGGTGTGGGAGGAGGTGGTCGAGGCAAACTGAGAACCTGCTTGCTCCAAAGGGGCTTACTGAGAGAGAGCACCCCAAGCAGGTGCCAGAGCGAGAGAGCCCCCAGGAAAAGTCTGCAGTGGCCTCAAAATCCCCTCCTTTGCACCCATTCTCAAAGCTGCCCGAAGGAGGGCTCCAGGAAAAGAGGAATAAGCAGAGATAAATGTGGAGGCCTGGAGACACTGGGGAGTGCCGGGAAGTGACTGCACTGGGCAGCCAGGGCTGAGGTCTGCCTGCTGTCCGGTAGGGCTGGAAGGCACCACACTTGATTCAAGCTTCTGTCCCAGGGGTTGGACAGGAGTCCGACAGAGAAAGTTAAGCAAGTAAAAATACACCGTTTATTAATGCCACAGAAATACTAAGGAAGAGGAACCATAGGCCTTACATGACTCCGCTGTGATTACATAGGAATAATGAACACACAGATGATGCATGTTGCTCTGGCAAAAACTGACAACAGAACTCTCCTAAGGGGACCGGGAACGTATGTGCAGAGCATGATGGGGCGAAGTTCTCATTGACCATAGTAGGAATCCAGCAGATGATGCGTAAAACTGAAAATTCAAGAGCTCAGTAGAAGCACGTTACCTAGAAATGTGGAGGTAAATGCAGAGGACAAAGCTAAGTTCAGTGGTTTTCTCTGGGGACGGAGGACGGGAATGTGGTGAGCCATGTGTTTACCACTCCTACAACTATATTCATATGTAGCAATTTTTTAAAGTTTTAAACATGATGGAAAGGGAACAGCTCTCCCAGACTGTCAGGATTTCAAGAGGCTCAGGAGCCCCGGTGATGCAGAGTGGAGTCTGGGTTTCTTGGCCAGAGACGCTGTGAAAGATGCAGGTGCTGGTGCATTGTGGCACGTGACGCAGGGCTTTTTTTTTTTTTTTTTTTTTTTAAACCACGGGGCCTTTTCATTACCACCACACCGTGGGACATGTTACCCCACTTCATCGAGCACTTCCTGTGCACTGGGCACTTGAGGAAAACTCAGGGGGTAATTCTGGCCAGGCCAGCCGGGAGCTTCTGGTGTAGACCTTGCTCATGTGCTGTCCCAGTTACGTGTAACCCAGAACACCCAGCAGATTCATTTCCCTTGACCTGTATCCTGTTCCCGGGTTTACCTATAAAGGTGTTTGTTCCCAGTCAGTGACTGGATTGCAAGCCAGGAGCAAAGGGGGTGGGGACACAGGTGGGCTTTGGCAAATGGGACAAAATAAAACTGATAGCTTGCCTCAGGACCTGCGGGACAGGGCCAGGCTGGAAAGGGGCATGCGCCACCGGGGCTCACATGCGGCCTCTGGGCTATGGGGGGCTGGCCTCATGGGTTTGAGCAATTAAACTGTTCGCAAGTGAGAGGCTCCCCAGGACTCAGAGTTTCACTCCTGTGGGTAATGGGTTCATGCGTGACACCTTGTTGGGTCCACAGACTTGGGAGGCCAGGCTGGGCCTTTTGTTCCTGGCGCTTCTTTCCCACCCCAGCTTCGTCAGGTAACCCTGTACTGTTCTCCTCCCTGGGCTGGTAAGAGCCTGAGCTGTTGCAGGGAGGAGTGTGGGTTTGATGGGCCAGGGCTGTGGAAGGCTTTGGGAGCAGGGAGGCCACAGGGTCAGATGTGCGAATGAACTGACCTCCATGGTAGGGGGAACTGTGGTCTTTGGACCACACAGGCCCAGGCCCACTAGACAGTAGGAAGAGGTAAGGGGCAGGGGATCTATGTGGGGTTCTACTCTGTGTGACACAATGCCCAAAGGAAAGGGCAAGTCGCCAGGACACAGTTCCTAAAGGCAGAAGCTCTTGGTGCACACCTTGTATGTCTGGGGCCCTTCCAGCCCAGAGCCCTGGCTGTGGGGGCTCTCACTGAACAGCTGGAATGTGCTTGGCTCCAATCCGGGTGCTAGGGATACAGTCAGGACTAAAAATACTGTCTGTTGTGGTGGGCAAGGGGACAAAAGCAGCGAATAAATGTGTGATACAAAATGGGTGGGGGAGATAGTTAAGAAGTACAGGGTCTGGGGGCTCTTATCTGAGATGGGGAACACCCAGGATTGGAGGTGTGGGTTGTAAAGGAGAACAGCCTGCAAGGGAGGCGGTGGGAGGCCCAGGAGGCTACTTGATAATCCAGGTGGTAGGTAGATGGTGGTGGCGCAGAGCTCAGGGCACCAGACGGGCCGAGAAGTCAGAGTCTGGACTCAGGCTGAAGGTAGCGACCCTAGGAGTTGCTGACAGATGGGCCGTGGGTGAGCGAGAGGGGCTGTAGGTGACTTCATTGCTTTGGCCTGACAGAAGCATGGTGGTGCCATCCATGCCGGACTAGGCGGGGGAACACGCTCTGGGCGGGGCAGGGCAGTTCGGTGGTCACACAACAGACTAAGCTGAGGTGTGTACTACACACTGTCCTCCGTGCTGATCACCCCTGTTGTGACTTGAATGATGGGAGTCAATGGAGGAGAGACAAGACTTGAAACATGTAGAGCCAGAAGCTAGTGTGCAGAATATTCTTCCAGTTGTTGGATGTATAAACTCAAAACAGGAAGATTTGCTTCTCAACCATGCCTGCTCAAGGTGGAAGTTTGCTCCTGTTGGAGGAATACGCTGGCCTGGCAGCCACGCCCAACTGTGAATGCGCTGTTCCTTGTTTGCAGAAGCAGGTTAAAGATTAGTCTGGGAATTCTTGACATGTCCTGGAATCCTGCAGCTCACACAGCTGCTCAGGAAACCCAATCATGGTTGCCCCACATTCGACAATGGTTCTGAAAACTTAATGTCCCTGCCCACGTAAGCTGTGAAGATGAAACAAACTCTTCTAAAGTATCAGTAATTCCAAGTTTGGTCAACCACACTGGAGGAAAGATTGAGGAGGCTTTCTGTCCTTACACAGGCTCAGGAGCTCGTTCTCCTGCGAAGGGTGATCAGGGAGTGCACAGCCCAACAGCGAGGGCCAGGCATCACAGACACATGCCATGGTCGCTGAACAGCTGTGTCGGTTTTCCAGCATTTTTGATGTCTGGGTATGTGTCAACTTTGAGATTTGCCGTGATTTCTAATTCTTCATCTCTGAGCCTAATTTTGTAGTCCTGTTTTTACTTTTTCCTTGGTGAGAGTTGAAGCTGGGTAGGAAACAGTAACCCAGCATGACCCGGGGGCCTAAAGGCCCTTCCCTTTGTCTCGGGCTGAGATGGGCTGGAGTCTGCATGTGAGTGGGCTCCGCAGCAGGGCCCACTTGGCTCCACTGGTAGACTGTCTCGATGACGGAGCGGTGTGCTGGTCTGTGTTCCTGGGGCCTCTGAGTGAGAAATGTCATGAAGATCTTGTGACTTAAAACTGGCCCCTAAATTCTTTGACACTCCTCCCATTAAAGACTGGAGGCCTTTCCCTCAAAAGGTGTGGGCTTTGGCTGCTTGCTGGCTCTTCCAACAACGAGCACACGGCAGGCGCGATAGTTTGGCTCCGAGCTAGATCTGAAAGGCACAGGAGAAAAGCTCTGGCGGCTCGCTCCCACCGTGTACCTCGGCATCCCAGGGCTGACATGTGATGATCCAAAACTGGAAAGTATGTTGGCAAGCATGGGGAAACCATTTGGACCTCTGTGCATTGCTGGGGGGGAATGTGCAGTGATGTGGTCAGTGCAGAAAGCAGTTTGGGGCTCCCCAAAAGGTTACCTGGAATTACCATACGCCGGCAGTTCCACTGCTTGGAATCCACCCAAAGACTTGAAAGCAGCCACTCGTGTGCGTACAGACATGTTCACAGTCGCTCCGTTCACAGCAGCCCCGAAGGTGGGAACTGCCCAGGCATCCACCAGGGGATGGAACCATAAACAAAATGGGGGTGTAGTCCTAGAATTCGGCCAGGAAAAGAAATCAAATACACATGCTGCAGTGTAGACAAACCTCAAAAACATGAGGCTGAGTCCAACCAGCCAGTCACAGGTCACACAGGATAGGGTTCCATTGAAGGGAAATGTCAGAATGGGCAGAGCCACAGAGATGGAAAGCAGATGGGTGATCACGAGGGGTCATGGGGAGAGGACAGTGGGGACTGACTGCTGCTTGGGGGTGGGTTTCCTTTTTGGGTGACAAAAATGTTCTAGACCCAGACAGAGGAGCTCTTTGCACAACATCGCAGATGTCCTAAATGCCACTGAGTTGTTCGTTTAAGAGAGTGGATTTTCTGTTCTCATTTCAATTAAAAAAAAAAAAAAAGTTTGGCTACCCAGAAGCCTCACACTGGCGAGACCATGTGGAGAACCCAGAATGAGAGAGAGAAGCCCAGCAGCCCAGCTGCCTGCGTCCCCAAGGCACTCACCAAGCCCACTGGGAGTGAATGAGTCTTCAGGGGACCTGGCCCGGCCTCCTGGCTGACCCGGACAACACCAAGTGGAGCAGAGATGGATGGTCTCCACAGAGCCCTGACTAAACTACGGATCTGTGAACAAAATAACTTGTTTTAGGCCATTAACTCCAGGGACGGCGGGCCTGCAATGATGTGATGCGAACAGGTGACATCTGGCAGGGAGCACTCAGCCCCCTGGGCATCATGACTGCAAGTGGGTTGAGCCATCCAGGTTCTGGGAGGGTGCGAGGTCCCAGAAGTCATCGTGCCAGGCAAGGACAGCAGAGGACAGTGGGCCAGACAGCAGTTGGGGTGGGGGGGGGGGGTTAGGTTGGGGGTGACGGCACCCATGCTGACGGACTCAGGCAGGTGCTGATGAAGCAGGGGATTCTGGCACCTTCATTGAGATCCTCAGCAGTGACCTAATCTGGTCCTTCTGGCACCCTCCACCTGGTCAGCCCCAGCAGCTGGGGATGGCAGCCCTGGCCTGGAGGCAGGACACCGTTCTTGTCCAGCTGGGCCTTTCCCAAGTGCCTCTCTGCCAAGGGACCTACTTCCTTTGGCCTGGGCCTTCGCTGGGGAAGGTGGAAAATTTTACCATCGCAAACACCCGGCAGCTCTCAGGCTTTCAGGTGTTGGCTAGCAGCCCCTAGCTGGGGTGGACCCTTGATGGAAACAGAAAAACACATCTGAATCAGTAATGCTCCAGCTGTCAACCCGACCCTGGAGACAGCACTTCCGGGTCATGTGCCCCAGAGCCTGTGGCGTGGGGATGACAGAGACTTGGGAGGGACGTGGTGGCATGGCCACTCCTGACTGCGGGGCTTATGGGAGCCAGGTGACACACGTGGTGAGGTGTTGACTTATTTCAGCTGCTCCTGAGGATACCTCGAGGCCACTGGCACAGTCCCCAGTCACCCCGGCCTTGCTCCTGGGCAGCAGATCACTGCTGTGGATGGAGATGCGGGATGCAGAACAGGGGTTGCCCCTCCTGGGGGGGCGGGGTCTGAACAGGTGGAGGACCCAAATGTGGAGGAACCAGGGTCTCGGGACAGAGGAACTTGCCATCTTAGAGCCCGTTGTGGTCAGGACAGTTCTGGCTGGTGGGCATTCACCAAGGATTAGAGCCAGCCAGCATTCAAAAAAGTGAGAGAAGAGTGACTCCAGGGCCAGGGAGTATTACTGGGAAAAGGTTACCAAGGTGGGACATCACATTGTGTAGGAACTGATGAAGGAGAGAAGAGCCAAGGCCTCCGCGGATCCGTGCGGTCTCCAGGTCTGGAGCATTGCTGCCCAGTGTCTCCTGTTGCTCTCCAGGGTCCACCTGGCTAGGGCCTGTTCCACCTGCTGGGGTTTCCCCACAGCTGCACAAGGTCAGCAGTTTGCCCCAGGGCCTGCCCATCCCCCAAAGCACCACACCCCCGAGTCGGATGTGCTCGCGGGCCGCAGCTCAGATGCTCTGAAGAGCACGTGTCCAAAGGGCACTGAGGGGTATCGCAGGGAGTGCCAAGGAGGCCATGGACAGAGGAGCCGGGGCCTGCGGGAAAGTGCCCGAGGGTGACATGGGGCTTAGGACTCTTCCTGGAGCAAGGGAAGTACAGACAGAAAGGGCCCTGGCTTTAGGCCAGTGGAATCGCGCCTACCACGTGCCCACTGCTGTCCCAGGAGCCTGTGGCCTACGGGCTTGTTTCATCCTCATTGTGCTCTGGAGGGGCACCATCTGCTGTTCTGGGTGCTGGGTGGGCCCCGAATAAGGCCCCCGCGCAGCGCCCCCCTCGACTCTGCTACGTGTAGGATGCACCAGCAGAGACGCAACCACCTTACGAACTGGCGTGTGGGTCCTCGGTCTGCCCTGCGCCATGTGTGTGCCAGTGTCAGAGCAAGCTCTCCGTGGTTGGAGGCGGTCCCTGTGTTGCTTATCTTTCACCATTTCCTGAGTTTCTGGCATCACCACCTTATTTTCCACTCCGGTCATTTTTATTTGCAAACTCTCCCTCTTTTTGGTCATTGCTTATGATTTAGAGAGAGGGAGGGGAAGGCAGTGTTTGCTCATTTTTTCTTAGTGGACGTGTTACATTTCAGTCAAGGCACCTCCAAACTAGCTGTCTGCTATCTTGAATTTAGAGTCCAAGGTCTTCAAAATTTAAATAGGTGAAACAAGTAGAATATACTGGAAATTTGGCAGTCCCAGACAGACATGTGAAGGGACTGAAAATGTGTAGTCACTTTGGAAGGGTTGATCCTTCCAAGTCCTGGGCAAGCGTATCCTGGGTACAGGTATTATAAGATAACCATTGGTCGCTGGTGGAAAAAATCTTGTCAACGGAAGAAAAGCTAAGACCCTCAGAGGCAGGCGAATGCTGTCCTTGAAGTCCGGTAAAATGGAAATAGAGTGTGTTAGGAGGATTGGAAACACTGAGAAGGGAAAGTGAGGATCCCAGGTACCCACACGAGTTCACAGCCAGCCTCAGGTACTGTCTCAGAGGTGGTCAATTCAGGAAACCAGATTCCACCCGAATCAGGCGCCCCCTAAGTCCCCTGCGTCCTCAGCCCTCTTCTCTTCTTGAACCACTGGGGCATGGGCCCCACTGATACTGCCCTCCCTGTAGGCTGTGCCCATCAGGTGTTCAGGCACAGGGTCTCTTGGTCCCTCAGCCACCTTTGCTCTCACGTCCCCAGGCTCTGCCTGCTGGGGCTCCAGGGTTCAGCCCAGCACCAGTCTCTGCCCTGCTGGTGATCGCGGCCCAGCTCCATAACACTGTGGGGACCTTGGGACTCTCGGCAGCCCTCAGCTCCGGGCTGGGGTCCCAGCTGCTCGCACCTCTAGGTCCGTGTTCCTGCAGGCCCGGGTGGGTTGTCCGGGCCAAAGCTGTGGGGCGCCTGACAATGCAGATCCCTGGGCCATCCCGGCCGGAGTCAGGATCTGTGGGCGCGGGTGGAGGCCTGGCGTTCCATCACGTTCCAGGGGATTGTTATATATTGTGGTCTGTGGACTGCTTCCAGGACCCCTCTCAAACTCGTAGAAGAAAAACCTGGTACAACCATGACAGACTTTCCACACCATGCTCAGAAAACAAAACCAGAAACCCAGGCAGTTTATCCCCTGAACTAAGCTGAAATGAACATGGCCATCCTGACATGTCCTGGTTCCCGTAATAATACAATCCTGAGTATTTCCTGCAAACCGATACTCTCTGCGGTAAAGCAGTTCAACCCCTAACTTTTGCTGAGCTGCTGTACCAGAATAAGTCATCACCTTTAGGGCTAGGATAAGTGAGAGGTAGCTGCTTCTCCATCACAGACTGACCAGTAGGAACTGGGCCACCTTGTACACTTTGTATTGTTTTTTTTAAGAACTTGTTAGGATTTGTGTTTGTCGAGCTTCCTTGCCTTCTCTCTGGACCAATCCCGTGTGTCCCCAGCTGCCTGCCCTATCCCTAGTTCTGGGAAGGCGACCCCCTTTGGAGTTGACCTTGACCCTGCCGCTTCTCTCACGGCACCCACCCCCACATCCTGTCGGCCCTGCCTGCACAGCCCCTGGAGCTCGCCTGGTCCAGGCAGCACCATCTCTCCCCGGATTTCTGCAACAGCCCTCGCCCCTCCGCTCCCACCCCTTCTCCCAGCAAGAATTCCCCAGTCAGGGCAGCCAGGGAGCCCGACAACAGTGTGAGTTAGACCAGGGCTCTCCTCTGCTTAGAACCTTTCACTGGCTCCCATGTCACTTGGACAAGAGCCCAGTGTTTTCTAAGGATCCTGGGATCCTCCGCTGCCCCCCAGGCCCGTCACCCTGGGCCTCGTTCCCTCCCCTGCCCCACCAGGCTATACCACACCAGCCCCCAGCAAAGCAGGGCCCTCCCCTCCGCTCTCCCTCCTCCTGGAAAGGTCTCCCTGGAGGGCCTCAGTCTCTCCCTTATCCCTAGGGCTTTGTCCGGCTAGCCCCTTCCTGGTTTCGTTTCTAGTCCTCTCCTTCCCATGAGCACATGGGCGTGAGCCACACACAGACTCATGGATATTGTCGGTCGTCTGTCATCCTCCTCAGCCAGTTAAGGGCCATGAAGGCAGGACACGGGCCTGTTCTGTGCTCGTTGGTCATTGCTACGTCCCCAGTATGGAGAAGAGGGCCCGGGCTGGGTGATGGTCACAGCCTGAGGGGACCCAGGAGCAGCTGCGTTGTGAAGCCCAGTCTCTCTGGATTTGGTTTTTGTCTTGTTCAGCACATCCAGGAATCGTTGGAAATGCAGTCTGTTCTAGAGGAGCAAAACTAAGAGGGTTTGCTCACACGACAGTGCCTAAATCCAGTTTCAAAGCGGCCTTGACAGCACTCCGCTAACACCACCGGATGGACGTCCGCAAAGAGAAATGCTGAATCCTGAGTGCAGGGTCAGAAAAGAAAACACATGCCTACCCACCCCAGGCTGTTCTAGGCAACGGGCTCAGTGCGAGGCCAAGGTCCGAGGCGGCCAAGTGCAGTCGTGTGGGGTCGTAGCCCGGGGTTCACATGCACTTGCCAGCGTCATGCCATGTGGGGCCCCCAGCAAAACAGGGCACTGAGAGCGAGAGAACAGCACAGCCCAGAAACCCCAAGGCAGAGGAGGCTGGTGTTCTCCAGTAAATTCAGGGTACACACAAGTCTGGCTAGAGTGGCTCGTGGGTCAAACCACACAGCAACCCTGAGGCACTCCTGTTACCCTCTCCACACCCCGCTCTGGAGGCTGAGCGTGAGGCCCACCTCCCCTCCAGCTTTCCCAGGAGCTGGGGTTGGGGTGGCCTCAGGACCTGAGTTACAGGGAGATTTCTGGGTGTTCCTCAGAGTGGCCGCTGCCTCTCAGAAGGGAGCTCTGAGGACTGAGCTGTCCTGTGGGAGGGCAAGGCAGGGAGAGGCTGGGCCCCAAGGCCCTTGGGTAACGGCCCAGTGCTTGTTCCTCCAGGCCACAGTAGGCCTGGCCCAGGGCCCCCGCTGATCTTGCCTGCCAGCTTCTCCCAATTCACCGGAGGTGCCTGGCCCTGTGGATGGCGAAACCCCACAGCCTGGGGCAGGTCTTAGAGGGAACAACTGTTACAGAAGTTGGGACCGGGGCCCTGGAGGACGGAGATGTGGGTGAGGAGTGACCTGGAACATGGGGCTGGAAGCAGCCATGGGAGGACCAGCCGGCCCCCACACCCTGTCTTGGGCCACAAACCCTGGGGCTCATGTGACAGGACATGAATATTTGGTGACGGATGGGTGGACGAAGTAGTGACACTGGTGTTCCCAGGGCATCCACAGAAACCCAAGCCCCAGAACCCAGATCCCCTCCCTAGAAGTCTCTCAGACCCTTGCCCATCTTTCCTCTGCTCAGAGTAGCACTAGCTGTTCTGTGCAGAGCTGGTGCCTCTCAGCTCTAGGTGTGACGGAGCCCCCCTGCACTGACTCTTGGAGGTGGCATTCCTCAGCTGTCCCAGCTGCAGGGACAGCCGAACAGAAGACAGTGGTGGAGGCAGGTGGAGGCCTTCTCCTCCTCCTCCCACGGCTCCTGGCTCAGGGCTATAAATACTCAGGATGCAAATTGTAAATGCTCGAGACACTTACCATAAATTATAGGTGGATGATTGTGAATCTTCAGGCCATGAGGCCCCTTGGGTAATATTTCAGTTCTTTAAAAAAAAAAAAACAAAAAAAACAAAAAAACTAACCTGATGGGAGGGAGGGCCCCTTTCACAATCTGGCTTTTGTCTGGGAGGGGCCGGGTGCTGGGAAGGAGGACTGAGGGGCAGGGGTAAGGGGGCACTATCGCCCCGTGCAAGGAGTCGATCACAGAGAAAATGACCTGGCCCAGGTCAAGATTGACTCAGAACCAGATGAGAATGAGGGCACCTTTGTCTTTCCTGCTAGGTTGGAATATTATCCCAAGAGCATTACTACTTTATTTTTTAACGAGTAATTTAAGAGACCGGGATATTCAAAGTGTGTGGGATGGGAAGCTGGTCTGTGCACCTGCTCCACGCCACACCCCTGCGACGGAGGTAGGTCCCAGGCCGTATTCCAACGGGAAGTCCTGCCTGAAGGGACCTGGGGGGGTGGTCCCCATGGAGGAGCTCGCAGTCGTCTGAGCAGCTCCCACATCTGCAGAGGGAGGAGAAGCACGGCCCCCCAGCCAGTCTGATGGAAATCTGCAGAGTCACCATGTCCAGTTTCCTCCCCACGACACTGCACAGGGCTAGCCAGGGCTGAGGCAAATGGGAAGCGGGTCCATCCTCCAAGCAAACTCTTCTCACCACCCTGCCCACGCATTCCCTCATCCCGTTCGGTAATTAGGCTGGCTGGTCCACTCTGAGGAAGAGAAACAGAGCGTCCTAGTTGCCCTCCATGCCATCTAAACTGTTCCCTTCCCCTTTTCCAGAAAGTCCTGAGCAAACACCAGGCACCCAGATGACTTCTAATTTAATATTATCATAATAAAAACCATAGTGGTACAGAACCATGAGCCGCATTTTAAATTCCTCGGGCCACTAATGAGCACTGAACTCCTGCTGGAGCCCTTGTCAGGACAAACACACAGAATCGATGGCTGGAGCAGCGGAAACAGGGAGCCTGGCCCTCGCCCGCCGCGCCCACACTGACAGTGGCCGCCCTGCCCGGCGCCTCCCGGCCTTCGGCCTCGCGAGGAGGGCACCTGCGCAGGAGGCGGGGTTGACACGGGCACACCTGAGAGACAGCGCTAATGAGGAGAAACTCCTGGAAGGAGACACATTTCATTTTCTTTCCTTCTTTTGACACCATTCTAACTTGTCCAAAGGAAGGTTCTTAATTGAAGCCTGCAATGGGGTTCGCTTCCTCTCTTTTTTCCCAAGTGACCCTCGGCACACAGGATGCTCTGCTTTCTGTTGCAGATTATACCTTCTTTTTCTTCTGAGTCTCTAGGAAGAATAAGTGATTACAATTTTGTTATCTTCTAAAAAAAAAAAAAAGGGTGAAGTTGACTGGGTTGGAGCCATTTGCACAGTAATTTGACAATTGGGGGCGACAGCATAACTACTGAGCAATTTCTGCACAATTTAAAAAAAAAATTTTTTTTGGGCCAAGGAATCAGTCTAACAAACACATCCCACTCTTGCTGAAAATAATTTTTCCTAACTCTTCTAGGAATAAAACACTTTTAATGTATTTGTCAGGAATCGACACTTCATTTAATAAGATTAAAAAGTGACAATTTAAAGAGCAGTTGAGAAGAGTCCCACATCCACCAAAAGCTCATGGTTCTAACGAAAGTCGGAAGTGAAACAGGAAAAAGCACTGAGAATATGGGAAAACAAGTGTGTGCGTGTGGGCGCGCCTGTCATACTATTACCCTGCTTCAGATCGGCGGTGCTGGATCTGACGAGTAGGCCACCAGCCCCGTGGGCACGCGGACAGTGGACGCAGGCCCCACCTGCGGTGCCCAGTGTCACCCCAGCCGGCCCTCCCAGCAGCTGTCAGGAGGCGAAGGCTATCCCCCAAAGCCCCAGTGCAGTGGATTCTTACTCTCCCCAAAATCATGGCCTTTAGGCAAGGGCAGGGGGTCTGGCCGTGTTCTGTTTCCTGACCTGGATGGTGGTTGCGAGGGTGTTCACAGTAACTGAGAAGCATCACAATAATGGGCCAGAGGCCACCAGCACCCAGCTATCGGTCCCCACAGAGGGCCAGGCTTCGCCTGACCTTTCCTCAGACCACGCAGTCTGTACCCGCATAGGGCAGGGGCCCTCATGTGCCCCGGCCCCACGTGACTCGGCTGTGACTCCTTCCTCACACTTCACAGGGGTACAGCATCCACCCTCCGCTGGGTCGAGGACCCTGCAGGCATCTGGGACCCCACCCGACTGTGGGCCGGCCTGTCTTACCTGCACTCCCATTTAGCTCTGTTGGTCTCTTCAAGTGTGGGGGCCATTTTGGTCTAGCTGGCAGCAGGGAGGAGTCCTCCACAGGACCAGCCAGGGTTCTGGAAAGCCGTGTCTGTCTGGGGCCCCACAGTTTGGGTTTGCAGAAAGAGCCCCCACCTCCCCTGCTTCCCAAATTAAAAGGCCCATCACGGAAGGCAGAGCCCACTGGCCGGGTAACAGGAGGTAGACCAGAGCAGCTTCTCGGAGCTTCCTTGGTGTCTGCCTGGGATCTAGAGTGGGCCTCCATGCAAGCGAGGCCTCCCGCCAGGCCCAGGAGACACGAGTGCGGGGACCTGATGGCCACAGCTGTGGGGTGGGAAGGAGGCCATGTCCCTGTCCTCCCTGCTGCCGCAGGCCAGTGCCACCACCTCATCTTCCCCTTCCTTTCCTTATCTGACAAACTCCCATCCCCTGAGACAGCCCTCAGGGCAAGTATGTGCAAGGAGAGCCAAGGAAACGGATCCACAGGGGAGAGGAAGAGGCAGTCAGCTGCTGGCCGGGAGGCACCCACATGTGGGTCTGGTGCAGAAGCTTCTCGGCCTGTGCCTCTTCGATGTGACACGTTGCTGCCAGACCTGGCCTGGTGGCGTGTGCGGTGGGCCCGTGGGACCAACCGTCTGGAGGTAGAGGACTGGAACTTCCAGGTCCTCACCAGCCCACTCACCTCTTCCCAGGTCAGCAGTGCCAGCCAAGCCCAGGGGATCTGTCCATCTCTGGACAGATGACCTCAAAGTTTAAAAAGAAACCCTTGAATGGAGACTTTCCAGGCGTCTGAACTCTGCACTCGCTGGCTTCTTGGCTCCTTCTGTTCCCTGCTGGGTAATGACTGCACTGTGTAAGGAAGTGCCGAGTGGACAGGAATTCTTCCTGCTAATTGGTGACCGCGTCCTGGATGCTGACAACGGCAGTGGCCAAGTCATACAGCGTGGCCACCCATGGCGAGCGAGTGGCACTGCCATCTGTCATGGGAGCCTCCCGTCTCCTGGGAGATGCCTGGCACCCCTCAGGGGTTCCAATTGCCCCACACAGTGGGGGAGGGGTGAGATGAGTGAGCTGAGCTGATGGGCGGTGCTGTGGCTCCTCACCCTGCACCTCCCTCCCCCACTATCTCCTTCTGCTCCTGTTCAAACAGAAAGCCCACCTTCCGGTTTAATCCTATGGTTTGATGCCCCGCTGTTGTTCCCATAGTGGGAGATCACTCAAGACCAAGCTACACTGGCGAGAGCATTTACTTAGAGGGGCTCTGTGTCCACCCGCAACCAGTGAGCGTTAAGACCCCAAAAGGAACCCCCTGTAATCCCACCCTCCTCCAAGTGGGGGTCACAGGGTATGCAGAGGACCTGGGCCTGCGTCTGGGGGGCCAGGGGACCGCGGTGCTCAGCCTGGCGGGGCTCCGGAGGTGAGCGAACCCCAGACAGCAGGCTGAGCACGTTACAAAGGGTAGTTAGCGCCGGGCTGGAAAGCACTAAGGAAGGAGAGGGAGCGCAGCCCCATCAGGCCGCGGCAGTCAGAGATCGGCTCCATGAGGATGAGGAGAAAAGCTTCTTAGAACTACTTTTTCTTCTCAACCTTGCCGAGTAGTCAGGTCTGGGGATGAAACACAGCGAAGACTGAACCGCCATGACCACCCTGCAAAGCCCCAGGAGCGTGCTGCTGACACTTGCCGGCCCAGGGGCCTACTGTCCCCACGGCCCGGCTAACTGGCGGTGATTCAGGGGCGGGCTCAGCCCTACTGGAAGCTGCTGCGGACTTACAGATACATTTACAGACTCAGGAACAGGAAATTAGCAGGTAGCAAAAATAACCATTTCCTTGTCAGCCTCCCAAGCTTAAAGGCTGGGTACGTTTCAGGAATGACAGGTTAATAACTCAGGAATTCGAGTGATTATTAACTCCAGTGTCCTCGGATTGATTTGCTCATTGTGTATTTTTTTGAACTTCCTCAGAAGATTTTCCTTGTCAGCCCCGGTGCCATGACGAGCTGCATCTGTGCCTCATTCAGGAGCTGTGCACAGCCTTTCTCCGCTCCACCCCAGGCCTAACCGTTCAAAACTAAAGAAGGAAAATTACAGCATCAAAAGGGAATAAAACAAGTGATTTGCTGTTTGAGCATTTCAAAAAGATCTGGAACACCTATGATTCAGCAAATGGACAATAACTAAAAGAAAGAAAAAATCATTTAGTTGCCAGGGCAATGTGTTCCAGAAGAGTAAACACTCTACGGAAACCCACTTCCTAAAGGGTGCCCGGAGGTAATAAAGGCCTGATGGGTTCTCCTGAGCTTGGTGCCGTCACAGCATTCCGACACCGGCCCGTCCACCGTGGCCTCTTTGCCCGGGTTAGATTAGAGAGGTAGGGTGTTAGTGGTGGACTTGATGAAGATTGAAGACCCATTTTCTCCCCCTGGAGACCAGCCTGATTTGAACAAATTGAGAGGAGAACAAAGTGGCCCCTTTCTGTCCTTGGGAGAAAGCCTGTCCTGTGTCTGTTCTGCCAGCGCCGTCTGCTCCTCCCAGGAGGGGAGAGGGGCTGGCGACAGAGATCCCTCCTGGGAGGATGCCAGTCCTGGCCCCTGCCCTCGGGGCCCACCGCATGCCTCCATGTCCGCGCCCCCTTTACTGGTGTTGCCGGTTGGGCGAGCGAGAGGCAGAGCCGGGGCTGGAAGGCAGGGAGCTGCCCCCGGGGGCCTGCAGGGCGTGGGGGTCGAGCTGCGGACCCGCCAGGCTGGGCTCCCCAGGCCCTGACTCCTCGCTGCTTTCCTCCTTCTGGCTGCTCTGCTGCTCCGGACACTCAAAGTGGACGCAGTGGAACACCTGGCAGGAGAGAGCAAAGGCCTCGTGAGCGCGGCGGGTGTTGCACCCAGGAGGCGGCCACGGGGCAGCGACAAGGAGGTGGGACACTGCTCTCGGTCGGTTGGGACAGAAGTAAAGGGCTGATGGGCTATAGTCACAGGCAGTATGGCATGGCTTCCCGTACAGTGTCCTCACTGGTGGGGACGCCTGGGGGCTCAGTCGGTGAAGCATCTGACTTCGGCTCAGGTCACGATCCCAGAGTCCTGGGATCAAGCCCCGCTCTGCCTGCCGCTTTGCCTACTTGTGTGCTCTCTCTGTCAAGTAAATAAATAAAATCTTTCTTTTAAATGTTCTCACTGGATGATTCCATTCCGGGCTACTCTCGTCGCCCAAGCTCTTCCTTTTGAATGAGTGGATGAACCCTGCTTTTGGCAGTTGGGTTGCCGGCCAACAGGGTGGCTGTGGGGCAGCGGCACAGCTCTGCTGAAACCCTGCGCCGCGCTCCCCGTGGGTGAGCCGCGCCGTACGTGACTGATGCGTCAATAAAGCTGATATTAAAAAATAAGCAGCCAGCAGGGCGTCACCCCAGGGGAGGACCAGGCTTGTCTCCAGGGGTCCAGGTGGGTCCCTCCCTCTCTGCCCCAACGGGGCCCTCGGGAAGGGAACGCCGCACCCTGACGTGGGCCGGGCGGGTCGGGGACGCACTGCTGGTGCGGGACAGCCAGCCCCCCTCGGGAGCGGCAAAGCACGGCCACAGCCAGGGAGTCCCTGGGCCGGCGCCTGGGCTCCTCGCTCAGGGCTGGGCCGGCGCCGGTGTGGACGGGGCACAGCTTGGCTGCTAGGGGAGGCACCATGTGAGTGTGTGTGGGTGTGAGCCTGACACGCCCGACGGTGTGCAGGTCTCCACTGGTGTCAAGGGACAGCCAGACGCTCAGCCAGAGCTGGGCCTTTAGGGAAGCGGGCCCGCCCTCCCGGGCAGAAATTCCTTTCTCCACCAACACCCAGACCCTTCTGGGGTTGCAGCTCCCCAGGGCCCGCCCCAACCCTCCTGGGCAGTGGTGGTCTTTGGTGTGGCGCTGGCCAAGCCACTTTCTGAGGAGCACGGTGGCAGTTTTAGGGGAATCCATTTCCAGATCCTCAGTGCCTGCACATGCTCAGTCTGCCCGAGAACGTGACTGAATTCACAACCGCCCTGCTGCCCTCACTGGAGGGAAGCTGGGCCCCGCGAGGGCGCAGCTCTGCCCAGGGAGAGGTTCCGAATTCAGAAGTGAGGTATACTCATGACTCATGTGATTTTTTAAACATAATTGAGAATTTTTCCAGAATTAAAACATCTTCAAGATACGCTGGCTAAAACCCATGAGTGAAGGTTTTGCATGATGACTTTCGGATTTGGTGTGCCTTATTCAATAAGTGGGTTAAAATCTATTTTAGTGAATCATGTCATCAAATATTTATTCCTAATAATTGGTTCCTCATCTTCCATCTTATAAAAATGTGTATTTTTTACCTCATATTTACAAAAATAATTGTATTTCAACTTCATATTTTACTTTGCAACCTTAAATATTCAGTGGGTTACTTATACTTTTCTTCCCAAGTTCTTCCAGGGGAGAAGCAAACAAAATGTTTGAAGGCCACTGCTGCTGCCCTTGGGAGACTCTAAGCTCTCAAGGGAGTGCTTTTTAAAGTGAATAGGCATGGCTTGGAGGAAAAGAGGGGCATTTTGGGGTTAGAAGTGTTCCAGGCAAGGGGAATAACTCGGATAAAGACTTTAGGAGGAAAGGGCCAGTGGTGTCCGAGGGAAAGATCCGACTCCACGGGGCTGGCGAGGTCTCTGCTGAGGAATATCCCAGAACCTGCTCATCGCGCAAACACAGACCGGGCACTTCCCACGGGGCTGCGCCTGTATGTCAGCTCCAATAACAAAGACTCTGGCCTCAAAAGTGCACATGCCGCTGACGGGTTGTGGGATGTGTGATTCATGCGGGCAGGGCGGCCCGCAGATGGAGGGTGGTGTGGTCAGCTCCAGGTCAACAGTACTGTCCTCAACGATGGGGGAGAGCTTTGGGCAGGAAGTCACAGAGGCCAAGAGGAGCTATAGTCCATGGGGTGACTCGGGAGAAACACATATCAACCTTGACTACTTGTTAGAGGTGAAGTTCAGCAAAGTGGGACAACTCTGGGATGAGCTAGCCCAAGAGGCTGGAGCCCAGGCAGCTGGGGGGCAGCGGGGCTGGGGTGCAGGAAGGGCCGCACAGGCTCACTGGGGAAAGTGAGGGCTGTGAGGATGGGCCTGGCAGTGGTGGATCCTGCAAGAGGCAGGGGCAGTGATCGGGAGGCTAGAAGCCTCAGCTGGAAGGGGGTTTAGGGGTGAGTTGCATTTCCCGAGGGGCCTGATGGTGCCAGAGAGTCTTAAACGAACTGGTGTGCTGGGCTGCTGATGGGACAGTGGCGGGGGGACCGTCGGGGCAGAAACCCAGCCGCCGGACTACAGCCTCCTGGACGGACAGCTGATAAGGCGCTGGCTCTCCGACAGCTGATAGGGCACTACCTGATCCCAGGCTTTCTCCCTTTTGTCTCCAGGCTTCCGCTAAACCAGTGAGACGGGGGAAGTGGTAGCGCTCTCAGTGAACTCGGTTTGTAGTGTTATCTGCACTGGCTGGTGGGCCCTGGAGCCTGCGTGGACAGACCATGTGGCCCAGGGGCATGGCACCTTCTGGCCCGTGAGGGTGGGACACACCAACTAGGGGCACCCAGCACTTCCAGGAAAACAGCCATCGCCCTGCCTGGCTCCCTTTATTCTGCGGGCCTGCTGGCAGGACAGGAGCTGCTCAGCTTTGGATCTGCCAGCGTGTGGGGAGTCTGGTCCTGGATAAGGGCCTGTCTGTAGCGCTAAAGGCCCTGGTAGCCTGGGAGTGGGCAGAACACAGAGCAGGGCTGGTGGGCACCTGCCCCTTTCCCTGAGGGAGGTGGCGCAGCTGGAGCAGGGGTTGGGGTGGGGGGTAAAAAGAATTGTCCCTCCTTCGTCCCAGGGGCTCTGTGGCCTCCACGGCTCGAGCATGTGCACCATGCCCCCCCCGACACACGTGTGCACACACACACAACCTTCTACTGTAGAATCAGGCTCACAGAGGAGAAGACAAATGTGATGGCAGCTGTGAGATTGTAGTTAAAATACAAATTCTGTGCTTACCTTCCTGCATCACTATTTCCCCCCATTCCTACTTCAATTCATTTTTCTACCGCTGTTTCAAATGTCACATCTCAAACTCTAATATGAAGACTAACGGAGGCCATGCGTCCTCAGGTCTGTCCTGTGCATTTTGGCAGAGCTGGGTTCTCTTAGAGGGAGCGGATTTCTCTCCTTGAAGCTTAGGCCGGCCCTGTTCTCGCCACAGTGCTTCCTGGGGTCCTCGAGGTGCCAAGTCACCCCCGTCCTCCTCCCTTTTCCTTTCTTCCCCTCCTCTCTGTTGGAGCACATCTCCCGTTTGGGCCCATCTGCAGGTGCTAACCCAGCAAGAGCCCGATGGGAGGGCCTTTTGTGATTCTGAACTGTCCGGGCCATCAGCTGTGACCTGTGCCATGAAGGGCAAACTGAACATCTTCTGCGTGGTAGCTATTAACCTCTTCTTCTCCAAGTTTAACATTCTTTAAGCTTTTCAAGTGACAAGAGCACCCTTTGGCGGGTTAGTGATGGTCTCTTTGGCCTTAGGAGCACTCCTCTTCCTAAGTGTGGGTGGGGCTGCTGGGGGCACACTGGGCACCCCCCCTCCAGAACACACCTCCACTGCCTGGAATCCCACCCACACGTTCTCTCAAGCCTCTCCCTGGAGCTTCTCCTACGTAAGCCAACTGACATCCTGTTCTCTCTCAGTCCAGTCCAGACACATTCTGTCCCCAGAGCCTGCGTCTCACCTACTGGAAGGGAAATGTGTGCACGCTGCACTTACTGCACCTTCCCCTTTTTGACCCTGAGTCTGTACCCTGCACCGTCACGCCCTCTAACCTGCAGCCTGCGCTCTTGGCCCAAAGCTCTCCAGAGGCTATTCCACAGGCCTGATGCTGACCCATGCACTGAGTGATGACCTTTCCTCCACATGGTTTCCCTCCCTGTGCCTGCGAGCTTTTCAGTGCCCTGAATTTCTAGGCAAGATCTTGCCTCACAGGCCCTGTGAGGCTTCAGGCCTCCCGCCTCAGAGCCTGGCCCGCTCCTGCCTCTGTCCTTCCATCTTAGCAGCCCTGGGGCTCAAGGACCAAGGCATGGTTGTCCTTTCTCCCACGCAGGCCTTGCACGGGAATAAACACATCCGTGTTTCAATTCTAGATTGAAAAATAAACTTAGAAAGCCTCTCTGTGGGGCCACACACTATAGGCTGGCCATTCGGAGTATGCCTCTCATCTTAGAAAGTGTCCCATCAGCATCCCTGGCCTGAGGGGCAGGGGCTCTGCTCCACATGGTGCTGGGAGAGCCCATGGGCACCTAAGAAATGCTCGCTGGCCTGCCTCCTGCTGCCCTCTTGCTGCTGCCATTCCCACTTCCAGCCTGCACATCTCTCTTCTCTAACTTGGGTGATGTGAACTGCACAACCATCTTTAGTTCATTTAACCAACCGGTTTTTTAAAGTAATAGTGCAAATGGCTGTTATCCCCCACATGCCTAGTAACAGTGACAGCAATCTCCATGGGCCATTTTCATGTTCTGCCATGGCTATTCCTTCTCCAGAGATCTTAGCCACTGCTCCCCTGCCACCAGTGGCTGGCCCTTCCAACCAAGTTAGGGCAGACAGGAGGCCATGGACGTCCGGCTGCTGGCTGCCTGGCCATGTCACCCTGCAGCCCCGGGATGGGTGTGCCTGGGACCAGACAGGAGGGACAGGGCTACCTCCATGCTAAGCTTCAGTCTGGGACCCAAGGGTGTCCCTAAAGGACCAATGAACTTCAGTGTGGGTTCCCTAAGCATCTCCGGAGAGCCAAGCAGGCTCTGCCAGATTCAAAGGCAACATACAGGAAACAGTTAA